GGTTTTAAACTAGTTTAGTGTTTGATGTTAAACTGGTTTAGTTCGTTGTTTTAAAATGGTTTAGTTCTTGGCTTTAAACTGGTTTAGGTCTTGGTTTTAAACTGGTTTAGGTCTTGGTTTTAAACTGGTTTTGTTCTTGGTTTTAAATTGGTTTTGTTCATTTTTTTAAAACTGGTTTAGTTCATGGTTTTAAACTGGTTTTGTTCTTTGTTTTAAATTGGTTTTGTTCTTTTTTTAAACTGGTTTAGTTCTTGGTTTCAGACTGGTTTTGTTCTTTGTTTTAAACTGGTTTAGTTCTTGGCATTAAACTGGTTTAGTTATTGGCTTTAAACTGGTTTAGTTCTTGGCATTAGCCAGGCCTACAGCAGGGTTGACACATATTCTGTGGACTTTAGATTTTAGACCTGAGTCTCCTTGTAGGGTCCAGAATCCCTGATTCTGAGGTCCAGATGTGTCCGGGGTCAGACACTTTTCAGTAGGAGTTTCTGGTCTTCATGCTTGTGTTCAGATCTAATGTAAGATCACCAAGTGCTCAGATTACAGTGGCTAACATTAAAGCTTTATAAAGAACGTAATCCTGACACCGAGACCCCGCGGAGCTGGTTCAGACCCAGACCTGCAGGCGAGCATCAGAGCGGGCGGCGCGTTTCTCCACTCTTCAGGCAGCTGCTGACAGCTGTGACTAGCGGCAGAATAAAATAACATTCAGCTCCCATCAATATGTGAGCGCCGCAGCTGAACGTGGACACGGGAACAGGAGCACGTCTGAAGACGAGCGCTCGGCGGGCGCCGCGGCCCCGAACGGCGGACAGCCCCAAGGACGGCCATAACTTATTTTACAATCGTTTAGTCTCAGCTCAAGTGGAAAATGTGACAACTTATCTCTGCTGACAACATGCCATCCCCGAGCGTGCAATTAACCGCCGTGGATTAACGGCCCCCCATCTGCAAACCAGGCTCCGTCAGCCCCCTCAGCCCCCCCACTCCCCCCCAGCATCATGAAGACCAGCGTCTGAGATCAGATCTTCCTGTTTTATTCTGAGGGTTTTACCTGGACCACAACAAGCGTCAGCATCGTGTTCGTCTCATCTGAACATTTAAAGGTCGACATTTATAAACTACTTTCAATAACAATCTAATAACAATAATAATTTAATAATAATAATAATCAATCAAAATAATCCAATAATAATAAACTACTACTACTTTCAATAATAATAATATTAACCTAATAATAATAAACTACTACAACTAATAATATAATAATAATATTAATAATAATAATAATATAATAATAATAACAATATAATAATTATAATAATACAACATAATTTATCATAATTTATTTTAACTGGTTACTGAACCAGTTTATTACACTTAAAATTAGAAAAGGTACTTAAACCAGTTCAGATCTTTAACTTGGACAGGATGATAGCTAGCCTTGTACCATTACAAGTTCTGCTCCAGTTTGGTTTAAACTGGTTTAAAGCATGTCTTTAAACTGGTTTAAAGCATGTCT